TGGTCCCATAGGCTCCAACCCACATTGTATACGAGAAATACAAACTTAGCATCAGAATGTTCTACTTTCACTATGAAAAATCATGTGTGTGCTCCTGGATTCATAAACAGAAGTATGTAACAATTCATGAGTTTTGCTCCAAATGTTTATGGAAGTTGGCCATTTTCTGTGAGGTTCGTCCATACAGTGATCTCTCAGGATATTTAAGTAGCTTCCAATGATCCAATACTGAAATAGGACCTCCAATATTTGTAATACATATATATGTGTGTGTGTGTGTATATATATATATACACACACACAGAGAGAGAGAGAGAGTACAAATATTGGAGGTCCTATTTCAGTATTGGATCATTGGAAGCTACTTAAATAAGTACCAGAGGGTCAGCAGCAGTCATGATGATATTTTCAAAGTTTAGAGTAAATATTTTAAAACAACTTTAAAATTGCTTTCTGTCACTCTTACTCCCAAATAATCACATACTCCTAAACTATGTTTATTCAAGTTAACTACTGTCCAGAATGAATATTCTATTTGTCCATGTATCAACACAGTCGGAGCACAGCTTACTGATAAATGGGCAAATGGAATATTGATTCTGGACAACAGTTATTTTAATAAACACAGTTTAGTACTGTATGATTATTTAGGTGTAAGAGTCACGAGAAGCTTTTCTAACAAATTTAACTTTTCATGTTCTTCATTTAGTTTACCTAGTGTTGCTAATCAGCTTGTATTTAATTATATGTGGACTACCATGTGTGTCTAGCCTAACCAGTTCAGAAGGGCATTTGATTGGTTTGTTGGATAATAAAGTTAAGGCTGGGGAATATACCAAAGGCTCCTTGTGTACTAAATGTAAGTCCCTCTTGGAACATATTAAACTCATAAAGTTTTATCCAGCTCTCATTTTCTGCCAACAAAAGGGCATGTCTGCCAGTAAGTGTGTGGATGGGTAGAGTCTGAAGTTGCTGAAACTGAGGGGAAAAGACCTTGGGGTTGTAGTGGACAGCTCAATGAAAGTGTCAAGTCTGTGCTGCACAGTGAAAATGGCAATCTCTATGTTGGGGACTATTAGGAATGGGACTGAAAATAAAACCATCAATATTATAATGCCTCTATATAGATCTATGGTGCAGCCTCATTTGGAATACTGTGTGCTGTTCCAGTCACCATATCTCAAAAAAGGACATTACAGAGTTGGAAAAAAATACAGAAGAAGGCAACAAAGATGATTAAAGGGTTGGAACACCTTTCCTATGAGGAAAGGATAAAGAGATTGGGACTTTCAGTTTAGAAAAAAAGAGAAATTTTGGGGGAACATGACAGAGATTTATAAAACTATACAT